GCGTGCTGGCAAACCAAACGAGTCGGTGAGCTATGAGAGAAGAACTAAAACCAAACACGAGTGCAATCCACCAAAATAACGGCCAAAATCACACAAACACGGAGATATACATGGTTTGATAATTGCCTACGTCCACGGGGAGAGGATGAGGAGATTTCACTATATGGAGGAGAATTACAATGGGTTACAACTCACACAAACTCTGAAATATAATCCTAACCAAAGATCTCAACTCCCTCACAATATCTCCCTCTCAAAGTGCTCAAAACAATGCTAATTCTCTGGTTAAGAAACCCTAAAAATGTGAGTTTCTATTTATGATAATCATATTTTATTATAATTTTATACCCTCATAATCTATTTTATATGAATAAATATATCACTAATAATTATTTTTATCTTTTAATTGCAGGTTAATGAAGAATAGATCTCAAACTCACATCTCTCAACAAAAACCCATTGATTAAATGAAGAAATGAAGCAAAGAAGCACATTGGAAAATCAATTTCCAAATTATCCAAAAGCCCAGAATGAAGTCGTGTAGCCTGTAGAAGCCGGAGAAAATCAAAAATCCAATATGAAAAGAAATCATATTCAAAATGGTTGGCCACAAAGAAACGACGATATCTCCTAATCCGGAAGGCGGAATTTAACATATAATATATGAAAATCGCCTACCTCGACGAGACGAAGCTATTCGTGAAATCAGAATTTGGAAATAATGAGTATCGATGTCGTAACTTTTGTTGTAATTAATAATAATAATTTTTTCACCACTTTAAATTTTTCTCTTCTTCTCTTTATTGGATGATGAAGATGAAGATGAAGATGGAGAATTATTTGAAGGTTTGCATTTCTTTTCTTTTTTTTATTTCCCTTTTATTGCTTATTAGTTAGATTTATTTTCATGCTTGTAATTAGATTTTATTTTCTTGTTAAATAGCCAAGAGGCTAGAACCCTCTTGCCTTAGATTTATTTTATGCTTATAGAGTAGATTTATTTTCGTGCATTTAATTCTTGCAATTTTATTTTGTAGTTTAGATTTTGCAATTTATTTTGTAGTTAGATTTTAATTTCTTATACTATTCACCTTGAGGCTAGAACCCTCTTAGGTTTAGTTTTTCTTTTTGTTTATTTTTATTTTGTTTGATTCGCCTCTAGGTTAGAACCCTCTAGGGAATCACCCTTTTCTAAGAAGTGGGTTCAATTGTAGATTACCCATATCTATAATTGAATCCACCATCTTTAATTTCTTAAATTTTCTTTTATTCTAGATTTTTGTTCTTCATTCTTGATTTTTTTTATTTGTTTCTTTATTTTATTCATTTTTCCTTCTCACCTTATTGATCATACTCATTCTTTTTTCAAATCCACTCTCACTTACACTTTGCATCTATTTACACACCATTTTCACTCTCTCAATCTCTTCACAATCACATTCACTTATCACTCCTATTTGTCACGCACACAACATAAGAACCGAATTTATATTTTCTCCTACAAAACACCTTCCTTGTGGGATCGATATCTTAAATACTATAACTTGACACGGTTGTGCACTTGCAACTTTTTTGGTACATGTTTATGCTGCATCAATTTATAACAAAATACAATTCAAAACAGGCTGGGAATCTGAAAATGTGTCTGCCACACCCGGGTGTGACACGCACCACACCCCTGACAACAAGGCAGATTCTACCATACCTGGGTGTGGCACGTACCACACCTGTGGCCTGCTAAATTTTATTGTTTTCCAACATTTTAAACAATTTGACACCGTTTTCTATAATTCTCCATCTCCAAAACCGAGCCAACACCAACATGAGCACCAATGCGTCGTCTCGTCAAAACCGGCTACACCAATGTGGTTGCCTACATACCCCCTCTCCCAAGGGATCAAGCCACCCGTAGTTCATCCAAATGGTCGCGAACGACCTCAACAATCATGAATTTACAATAAGTTTCTATAATGATCGAACTTGTTGCTCAGAACCACCTTTGTGAGCATTTCTGTTGGATTGTCTTTTGTGTGGATATTCATAAGCTCTAATTCCCCATCTTCAAGAACATCTCGAATGAAGTGATAACGAATGTCAATGTGCTTTGTCCACGCATGGAAAACCTGATCTTCACCAAATAAATAACACTCATGCTATCACAATAAATGGTGATGGATCGTTGTGAAACACCAAGATCCTCCAAAAGTCCTTGAAGCCAAATCGTCTTCTTAACAGACTCTATAATCGTCATATACTCTGTCTCCATCTTTGACAAAGCCATCATAGACAGTAAGGTACATCTCTAACGTATCGGCGTACGGGTCAAAGTGAACACATATCCCGTCGTCGACTGACGTTTATCCAAATTTCCAGTATAATCCGAATCTACTTATCCAATACATAGCTGCCCACCGCTAGTGTCTCGCTCAAAAATCAAACTAACATTAAGAGAACCTCAAATGTACCTCAAAATCCATCTCACGATATCCCAATGACCCGGACCCGGGTCATGCATGTATCTCGAAACCATGCTCACTGCCTGTGACAAATCCGACATCGTACAAACCATGGCGTACATCAAACTTCACACTACGCTCGCATATGGAGTCTTCAACATCAACTCTATCTTTAACTGTCTTTGGTGAAAGGTCAGCTGAAAGCTTCAAATGGGCTCCCAATGATACACTAACTAGCTTCGTCTCCATACTCACATTAAACCGATGTAGCACCTTCTTCAAAAAAGCCACTTGTGTCAAATAAATTCTATCCATATCTCTGTCTTTATCAATCTACATCCCTAAAATGGGCTTCGCTTTACCAAATCCTTCATCTCAAACTCGCCCGAAAGCTGAATCTTTAGTCTATCTATCACAGATCTGGAAGTAAAAGCAACCAATCATCGACGTAAAGCAATAAGTAAATGTACACACCTTCATTCAACTTGTGATAATACACGTAAGGATCAAATTGTCTCCTAGTGTATGAATGACTGATCATGAACCTATCGAATTGCTTATACCACTGTCAAGGAGATTACTTCAGCTCATATAGTAATTTCTTCAACCTACAAACTAATTTCTCCTTCTCTGTAGCTCGGAACCCCAATAGCTGAATCATATAAATTTCTTCATCAAGATCACCATGAAGAAATAATATTTTTACATCCAGCTGATCTAATTCTAAACCATACTGTGATACCAATGCTAGCAAAATCTGAATCGAAGAGTGCTTCACCACCGGAGAGAAGATCTCATTGTAGTCAATACCTTCTTCCTGTGTATAACCCTTCACAACCAACCTAGCCTTAAACCTCATAGAAGTGCCCTGAATACCCTCCTTCTTCATATACACCCACTTCGACAAAGTTGAGGACGATGCAGAAATGACGATGAAGCTGGACCTTCCCAACGTGTTGACGATGGAGCTGGACCGTCACAACCACAAACGCAATCGGATCACGAACTTGTCGAAGGGCGGTATGGAGGACGACGAAGACAAATGAGGAGGAGGAGAGTTCTTGGATGTATGTAAACTACATGTTATATACATTACAAAACTATTTAGGGATGTGACATGGTTTTTGGATTTGTAGTCGAGACTATATGGTGTGATTTGTTGGATTTTTAAGTGGGTTTGTGGTGTTATTATGTTGGATTTGTTAGTGGGAGTTTGTGGTGTGATTTGTTTGATTTGAAATGAGTATGTGGTGTGATTTGTTTGATTTGAAATGAGTGTGTGGTGAAATTCATGATATTTAGATTTGTAAATGAGTTTATGGCGAGTATGTGGTGAAATTCATGATATTTAGATTTGTATATGACTTTGTATTTAAGTTTATACAGGGACTACATGAAATGAAGCCAAAAAGTGCACATGATATGAACGGGACTAGTGGTCCCGTGCATTTTTTGTTCAGTAAACGAAGTGCACGGGACTACTAGTCCCGTGCACTTGGTCTTCAGCAGGCCAGTGTCTCTCTGCCTAAAAGTCGGGACTGCTAGTCCCGACTTTTTGGCAGAGGGGCACCTGAAGACCAAGGGCACGGGACTACTAGTCCCGTGCACTTCGTTTACTGAACACAAAATACACGGGACTAGTAGTCTCTTTCCCGTGCACTTCGTAGAAACCCAACGGCTGCAAAACCGACCCCGGTTTTACTAATATTTTTTCTTGGAAGTCGATTTTGCCCATTAAATTTAAAAAAGGGTCGGTTTTAAAAATGTCTCCTAAAAAAATTTATTGATGAAATCTCATATAAGGAAAGTCAGTCCCCAGGAAAAAGAAAAGCAAGAAAGGCCTCACGTAGTAAAGAAGAAAGCCTTCATAGAAAAAATTCAATTGTTACTCAAACACGAGATTTATTCAATCTTCCGAAAAGGAGAGGGAAAAAAAATCTCTTTTTTTTATCCCCCATGTTTCGCTTCCTCTCATCAAATCCCCAATTCAGAAACCCTAACCGGACTCTCGCCGGAATCGCCGCCCCCCCCGCCGCCAGCGCCTCCTTCTCCTCCTCCTCCGGCGATCTATCGCTCACCGTCCGCTTCCAAATACCAACCATTTCACTGTCAGCTCCATTGCCCCAATTCCTGTCTCATCACCGGAACCCTGCAGGTATAAACCCTTCTAAAACCCTGAAAACCCTCAAGCAACCCATAAAACCCTGAAAACCCTCAAGCAACCCATAAAAAAATTGATCTTTTTTGTTATTTCTGTGAATAGACATTGGACTGTCTCCAATAAATTTCTCATCTGAACCCTTTAAGAAAGAAGCTTTTCGAGAAAAGGGCGATGATTCGGCGTGTGGCTGCGGTTGTTTGAGCCGGAATGCGATTGGCGCAAAGGGCAGGCCCGCTGCTTGCGGGCCACGCGCTGTAGTGAATATTTCGGTTACTCGGGGTGAGGGAAAGTTTTTACTTTTTCGATTATTTATTTATTTATTTTTTTGGAAGTGTTTCGTTGTTGGGTTGAGGAGATTGAATGTTGGTTTGTTTGTAGGATTAATGATTGATGCTGGGAAAGAGTATGGGTTCATGGAGCGATTATTGATCGTGATGGGACGATTCTGACTTGTGCTCATGTTGTTGTCGACTTTGAAGGGGCGAGGACAGTTTCAAAAGGCAAGGTATTTTCATCTAATTTTTCTTGAACTAGAGCAAGTATAATGTGGGTAATTAATTGTAATTTTTAAGCTAGACAATGATGGGCGTGTCATTCGGGAGAGTAGTCAAATAAACAATTTCAATTTTTTAGGTTGTGGCTATGTTTGATCGGTATTTCGCTCTCTAGTTTTATTTTTATGCTCTACATGATCTTGCTTGATTGTAATGTATATGCTGAATGTAAAAAAATTTTTTTTGCATCATTCACCTTAATCTGTGTTCGTTATGTGGTTGTATGTTTTTTGATAATAAAACAGGTTGATGTGACATTGCAAGATGGCCGAGAATATATTGGCACTGTAGTTAATGCAGATCTCCGTTCTGATATTGCTATTGTGAAGATTGAAGCCAAGACTCCTTTACCAGCAGTGAAGCTCGGGTCATCAAGTAAGCTTCGGCCTGGAGACTGGGTTGTCGCTGTTGGCTGCCCACTTACTCTGCAAAATACTGTTACTGCTGGGATTGTGAGGTAATTAAATAAAATCATGTACAGTTCTACTTACTAGAATCTCCCTCTTTCCGAGGCTTTTTTTCCTAGGCTGACGTATAATCTTAGATTTGATAAAATATGCCCATAAATAGTTCGTTTTGAAAGTAATTTGGTATTGTTGGCACTTTTGCTGTGAGTATTCGCTCAAAATAATCGTATACTATATGCCTTTTTGATTGGTCTGGAAGATTGTGTTTCTAGCTTGTTAAAATGTGAAAGATACAACTGAAGTGACTTATACAATTTATCTTTTTGAGTGCATAGAAAGTGGATAACTTTCTTTGGTCACTCAAATGAGATTTCTTCGTTTTTATTTGGATATTACTCATATTTCCCTCCTTCCACGTATATGTAGCTGTGTGGACCGGAAAAGCAGTGATTTGGGTCTTGGAGGAATGCGAAGGGAGTACCTACAAACTGATTGTGCAATTAATGAGGCAAGCACCCTAACTCTATCCTTTTTCAGTTCGGTGCATGTAGGCTCTTAAAAATTTCTTGTTCGATAGTTGGCTTTGCCCAAGCTTTTGATTACTGCTATAATATTTAGTTTGTTTATGGGTGTAGTACATCTTCATACTTGAATGGGTCTACAGAAATTGTACAATTGAAAAGAAGAAAAAACAATTCTGGAAACACCAGTTATCAAAGTTATTCTGTTAGTATGTCCCAGATGAGAAAATTTGTTAAGTATTAATTCTTGTATGGAATAATATCTATTGCTATGCAGCTGCAGCAGTTGGTGAAGCCAATTAGTATCCAAAAGCTTGTTGTATTGGTTAGATTTGACCGTGTGTTTGGTTTTAGGAAGCCAATTTCTTAACGTTTCCAACATGTTATGGTTTTGCTAATTCCTTAAACTCTGTTTCAATGACGATCATGATGCTTAAATCTTTGCTCATTCTTGATTTATTTCCCATATCCTGTTTTTCTTTCTTGAGTCGAAATATTTTCTAGTGTCTGACTAGCTATAATATGATTTATTTTTGTTACAGGGAAACTCTGGTGGTCCCCTTATAAACCTTGATGGTGAAGTTGTAGGAATCAATATAATGAAACTACTAAATGCAGATGGTTTGAGCTTTGCGGTACCAATTGATTCAGCTGTTAAAATTATAGAGCACTTCAAGAAAAATGGGTATGATTCATTTTCCAAAAAATTATATCCTCCAGCATAATACATTCGCAGTGAGGTGTAATTTACCTACAAAAGAAGCTTCATATGTATCCAGCAAAAGAAGACATGTTAGATAAACATGCAAGTTGGTGTAGTTTCAAATATTTCCAGGCAAAAGCGCCAAAAAGCCTTGCATGCTCTAAATATCAACATATATTCCATTGACAACTTATCTCCCAAGGACTTGCTTGTCATTATAGTGGATCAAAGTTCATCTTTTAAATGTTGGTCGCCCTTAATTGCCTTATTTAAATTCTTGGTTTACTCAACCTTGTAATGATGGTAGATGACTCGCTAAATGAAGTACACGATTGATCTCTATGTTCTTTTTGCCCTGTTATAATTGTTGATGAATTCATGCATATCTAGTATTGAAACTCGTATTCTACAAACATGAGTTGTTCCTACTTTGTATATTAGATTTGGTGCTGGCCTTATATTTCTAATTCATTGATGGCTAATATGTTGTATCTTTTTGCAGAAGAGTTGTTCGGCCTTGGCTTGGATTAAAGATGCTTGATCTCAACGATATGATCATTGCACAGCTTAAAGAAAGGGATGCCTCATTTCCTGATGTGAGCAAAGGTGTGCTAGTGCCCATGGTAAGTGTTTCAGTTAACTTCCATTTCTGGCACCATTAAACTGATTATAGACTTGTCGGTCAAAGCTTGTGCTGTGACTTAGTGACTATAACTTACGTAAGCTTTTGATGAACCTAACCCTAATGTTGTAATACCTTCTCTTGGATGATTTTTCTTAAAAAAACTATGACACGGCCTATCTTTTATTCTGGCGGTCAATGTTTTGCCTACTGCAGATATCAGTAAGTCAATATATCATCCTTTTATTGCACATTTTATTTCATATGAAAAAATTTCCTTGTCCAGCTGCCTACTTGAATCTCTCCTATCTACTATGTCATGTTTCAACTCTCACTTTTAACTCTAAAGATTGAAAGTAAACATGCTATGTAGTTGCAATAAGTGTCAAGTAAAGAATTTCAATAGCAATTTCATAGGTCATCATTTATATATGGAGGGTTTGATTTCTGGTAACTCATTTCTACATCAAAATAACAGTTTTCTTTATCTTTTTCTATTTCTGAACTACTGTGGAGATTAAAAGTAAGTTCGCACGTAGTATTATGTTTTTTATTTTTTGGGTGAATTTTACGAAACTACCATGGACTTTGGGTTGTTTTGCACAAAACCACCATAAAGGTTATTTATAAAAAAAACGACATTGAACTTTTTTCACCAAACTACCATGTCTGATACCAGATAGGCTAAGATGTTTGCACGTGACAAGTTATGGAAAATTTTTCCCTACGTACCTTATTCATCTTCTAAATTTTCGTCTCACCTGCTATTTTCATGAGAAGCTTATATCTTTATCCCAGATGTTAACTCAGTTAGAAATAATTTCCACTAGTTTATTAAAATTTTCTACAGTTATAAAATTCCAATGGTAGATTTCTCAAAAATAGGTTTATGGTAGTCTTGTGCACATGCTCCTAAGTTCATCGTAATTTTGTGAAATTTACCCTTATTTCTTAGATGCATGCATCTCATAATGCTGCATGAACAATGGGCTGAACAGCTTTATTTATTATTAAATTTAATATGTTAGTGTATCTTTTACTTATTTTGTTGTCGAAATAATCACAAATGATGTTTTAATTCTCAAACAGGTAACTCCAGGATCTCCAGCTGACCGTGCTGGGTTTCGCCCAGGGGACGTGGTCATTGAATTTGACGGGAAACCTGTGGGAAGTGTTAAAGAGGTATTGCTTTGGTAGGAAACACATAGGTCGCACTATTCATTAATCTGAATGTGCATGTGTTAAACTTTCATATATTCATTAAGACACAAAAACTGACTTTCAGTTGATCGATATGACTTAGTTGTCTTATACTTCCTTCGCAACTTGACGAATTTTAATTTTTAGTGAATTAAGGATTTATTCTTTAATAACTATCTGGATGGAAAAATGAAGAATGAAGAAAACAAATCTTTTTTTCCATGTGCCTTTGGAATTGAGAGCCCTTACACTTTTTCTTTTTTTCCCCAGATAATCAATATAATGGGGGACAAGATCGGTGTTCCTTTGAAAGTACTTGTTAAACGAGCAAACAACAAATTTGTAACTTTAACTGTTGTACCAGAGGAAGCAAATCCAGCTCATTGATTTCTTTTCTTTTGTATTTTTCGCCATACAAGTTATGAGGTGATGTGATTCTTAGAACTCAAGAAAATATGAGTTTATCTACCATTACAAGAGAAATTAAGAAATTTTTTATCTTTTATTTATTTACTTTTGTTCTGATGTCTTGCTTTTGAAGGTGTTTATTTATTTAGAGTTATATAAAACTTAAAATTGGTTGTTATTTTGTGAGCAAAGGATGAGATCTCAAACTTTAAAACTCCCAGTTGCATGTCATTTATATTAAAAAAGATACATTATAGAGTCTGTATATCCGTTACTGGCGTCGATAGTTTGATAACTTATCACGATAATACAAATACTGTGTCTGTATGAAGTTCCAAGGACAGCTGCAAATGCTTATAGATGATGCACAGAAGGTATTGTAATTATACTGTTTGATTTCTATCAACGAAAAAGAAAATCAAAATAACAATTATAAAATAGTGATTGCAATTAGGAAGTGATTAGCAACAAAAAGGGAGAAAAGAAAGAATAAACGAACTCTTCAGAATAAATCATCAAAGAAAGGACTTATGCAATTAATCAAATTATGTGGCATTGATTCAAAGTTTATAAAACTAGGGGGAGAAAAGCTCCAAGAATCTCGATCAGCAGATTTGCTCTTATTCTTCAGCAGCAGTTGCAGCACTTAGATCCACACTGAGGTCAACAATCTGGGTGCGGGGGTAATAATTCAGTTGCCATTAGTTTGTAATATATCTATCAAGGGTAACCTAATAATTACCTTCCCAGTAATTTTTGTATACAGAGATGTGTAGTAGCATCGCAACTCTGCAAAAATTAAGAGCCTGTCATGCTCATCCATCCAGCTAAAAGAACTATAAGGGGAGGAAAAAATTAGAAAGAACTTACGGTTGATATGAAGCAATTATCCGATGAGGGTTCATTACCAGGTTCAAATCTATCATACGCATCGAAAAATAGCTCATCAACAGGACCAAGAAGATCAATCCCTGGCTTTAGTTCAGTCTCAGGATGATCAGTCTCAGCTTCTGTTGAGACAAATGCAGTGAACTTTCCTTTCGGAGCAACATTGTGTGTATAAGAACAGCAGAAGAGATACCTATACAGCATAAGAGATACCTATGTAAAAATATAGAATGAACAATAATCACCCATTTTTATATCTTGAACTTTTCAAACACTAAAACATTAGGAAAAACATCACACGTCTGATTTTCTTCCAAGTTGCTTTTGAGGCAGTATAACTTGCACTGAATGAGAATCGTCGGTAGTTGGAATAGGATGGCTCATAATAGCAATTGCCCTGGCAAAATTTTCCAACCTTTTAATCTATAGATAACCATCAAAAGCCTTTGAAGTGAGTAAAATTTACATCATATAAGCTTTGTAATTCTACCATTAGATTAAAATTTCGAAGGGGCCATATTAAAATAGTAAGCTCACCTTGGCTGGTAAGTAGGAAGGATCACATACAACTTTCTTGCATTTAGCAGTTTCTCCTTCAGATGAAACTCCACAGGCTTTTCCTCCTTCATCAAACTTTCAGGGTCTTGCAGAAAACCCCCCTAACTTAATAAATCACAGGATACCCTCGTGAACTTTGAAAATTATACGAACCCCCTCTGAGCTATTGGAAAATCTCATAAACAGTATTAGCAGGTAGAGTAAAAATTCTAAAAATGCAGCCTGGCTGTTGTATCTTGTCCACATGAATGCTCTTCGTGCAAAATTCTGATCACTAACTTTGATTTGTCATAACTTGTGCAAAGCTCGTGTTTTGGGGTTTTCTAAAATTTATTCTCAACTTAAAAAGTGCAAATATTTAATACTTCAAATATCTTCCAGAACCAATAATACTTGAAAATACCTTGCAATCAGGCTTGTTCAACATCTATGTACCACCATAAAACAGCACTGAGGCGAGCAAATGCCTACATACCAGTTCACTGTTAATTTGGTGATGAAAACAGTGAGAAAAGAAACTAGCTAGATTGTGAGCATGGAAACAAACCTGGGGGAGTTCTGCCAATCCATACAAAGGATAGATATACGGTGAACCCCCTTAAAATCGTAATAGAGATTCTGCGTAAAGCTGTCATAAACAATAACAAATAGTTCAGTAATATAAATTTTGAACAGAGAAGCTATGGAGTATAGGTTTGGGTTTGTGTTCATAGTAAAGAATACTGCATATTTCAGCAATAATACAAGATCTTGTTTTTAGCTAGAGCCACTATTTGTTGCACAAGCTAATCTTTAAAATTCATAATCCATTGTTGTTTTAATGCCATAATTTATAAACATATCTTAAACTTATGCTTAGAGAATGTTTAAGTAAATTTGCAAAAATAAAGGATTTTCACATTTCAATTAGTTAATTGCTGTGTCAATTTTGCACCATGTAAAAATGTCATATGTATCACATGGTTATAGAAAAATCTAGGCAATTAAATATGTTACTAATTGAAAGACAGTGATTCTTATGATCAAAAACTTATTTGATTTTCCCTATACATAAGCATCAAAACTGCACAAGCTAAAAGTTGGAATAAGTATATTGAGAACTCTTAACACTGACCAAACTCAACCCATGTTAGACATAGATATTGTATTTACATCATTCATATAATAACATAACCATTTAATTCATATCATATGAGATTAGCGCTTTAAGATAGAACACCTGTTATCAAGGTGCTTGGGTTTAGACAAACTTGCTCAATGTCAATGTAAAATGGCAAGGAGAAATACTAAGGAGTCGGCCATAAACTGCACAATACATGTCTTGAGTAAAACTAATAAGGACACGTGATTGGAATTCAAGTTATGAGCATTACCTTCATCCTCTTTACAGTATCAACTGCAGGCTCATTTAGATAGCAATCATCCCCATGGAGTGCCAATGCATGACCGATAAAACCGACTGTATTGTCATCGAGACCATATTTTCTGACCAGAGAACAGTCAAGTAGCAATCAGTAAATCAGCCTGAGGAAACATTGACAATTCTTTGGATAAACTCTCCAGCAAAAGAATAGGAAATACTAGAGAACATAGATCACATATAGATATGCTTTCAATCTTTACAACAAAGCTTGCAACATGATTGCATATGTAAATTAATTCTAGTATCAGAAATATACCCAATGAGTTCTTTTGTTGCGACTTTGTTGATCAGGTCCAGTCCCCCATGAGATTTTGGATCATTTTCATTAAAATCTTGGACATAAACAAAGAACTTCCGAGCTCTTCTTTTCTCAAATAATCCCATTAATGGAGGTCTAAGAGCCTCCATATCAGTTGCAGGAACCTTATGAATCTGTTCCAAGGAGAAAAAGCTAGCGTTGATAAGTACTCACCAATAAGTAACAAGAAATTGATAATCATAAAAGAAAGCAAATAAAGCAAGTAAGAAATTACCTTTCCTTTACTGAAGACATAGCTTCCGTCTACTGCTTTGAAGGACAGATATTTTGTCACATTTGTGCGAATGAGAACGCGAACCTAGGCGCCATTTGCCATCATGAACTAGACATGTAAACATTTTCTATTGAGTTCTTGAATTTGTGAATATATGTGCAACGCTACAACAAACAAACCAAAAGCCAATCATCCTTTGATCTATCAAAGTACGTAATGCACTCATAAACAAGGTTAATTGTGTTGTACTTAATCATGATTAAATTATAGAGATTAAAACAAAAAAGAGCGGAAGCTATACCTGAATCCATGGCACGGATCTGAAATTTGGGTTTTGGATCTTCTAATCTTGAGGGTTCTCCCTTGAGATTTCTCTTTAAATGGGGATAAGAGAATGAGAACTCAACCCTAACGCCTCGTTTGGTACGTGGGAATGAAGTCAAGTGAGAATGGAATGGAAGAATGAATGGACTGAAATGTATGTGAGAATGGAATGGTCATTCACATTCTCTTGTTTGGGTGCGTTTGTAGAATAAAGTTAGAATGAAAATCTAATTCTCATTCTCATGTTTGGTATCACTAGTTCACAAGTGAGAATAGAATCTCATTTTCTAATATTGCCCTTATAACAACATAGATTTTTAATAAGATAAAAATAAACATTAATAATAATAACTAAAAATTTTATTTATGCATGTGTTATATTAATCTAGGTATGTGTTATACTAATGCACATGTTATCGATCAGGTGTATGTTTCGTTTATATTTTTTAAACAATTCTCACTATTTCTGCATATGTTATATTAATCTAGGTATGTGTTATAATAATGCCCTTATACCTCTATATAGTCTAGACATGATATGGTTTTGATAATTTTAATATTTTGGCCAATTTCTCAGCGAGAGTTTCCTCTTTTCATAAATATTAGGTCAATATTTTTCAATCAAAAGTTATATTTATTGTTGCATGAATCACAATCAAACCTGTACGCAATGGGTACATATAGTTCTCTATGGTGGGAAAACAAAAGCAAAAGTTCAAAAAGAATATAACATGCTGGTGAAAATAACAGACTTTAAACATTGGTGAATAAACAAAAAAATTTGATTGACCCAAAAAAAATATTGACATGAAAGAATTTCAATCGTCAAATAATATATAGTTTCAGTTGTATCTGTTTTTATATTAAATTGTGTTGCTTCTATGTTGAGCAATTGTGATATAATAGGCTAATGAAATATGTACCGCTAGTTTTAATATGCTACTGAAATATGTACCACTATTTTTAATCCCTACCCCGCAAAAAATTCCTATTGTTCGAATATAATTAGTAGCTGAGAGAAAATGAGAATACGTAGTCAAAAGCCATAATTTTTAAATTGATTCTTATTACTAATAGAGGTATAATTGAAAAAAACCTCACTAATTTGATTCTCCCATTGAATGGGAATGATCATTCCCTATCTTCTTATTTGGAATGCCCATTCCTACAAAAAGTGGGAAGGAATGGTCATTCCAACATCTAAAAACAAGTTTTGTTTGGTATGAGGGAATGAGAAGTGAGAATGACATTTCATTCCACCACATTCTCGCTTACCAAACAGGGCCTAAGATTAGGGACCATAACCCATTTATATAGACTTGTAATTTTTTTAATTTAGCCTCCCATTAAATTAGAATTGCAAT